CTACATCTATGTCCTTGTATGTCCTACATCTATGTCCTTGTATGTCCTACATCTATGTCCTACATCTATGTCCTTGTATGTCCTACATCTATGTCCTTGTATGTCCTACATCTATGTCCTACATCTATGTCCTTGTATGTCCTACATCTATGTCCTTGTATGTCCCCAGGCGGTGCGCTCCCTGAAGGAGACAATCGAGGACTGCTGGGACGCGGATGCTGAGGCGCGACTGACGGCTCTGTGCGTGCAGGAGAGACTGGTGGACATGGCCGCCCTGTGGGTGCACGGCGCTCGGCAGCGCGGGGTCACGCCCACTCTGAACACCACCATGAACTTACCGGAGGGAAATCAGGGGACTCTGACCAGCAGCAGCGCCGTGGTGTCCAACGGCGTCAGTTACGTCCCCTCCTACGTGGAGCGCAACAACGAGATCAACGACGCAGCGGGGGACGGTCTTGTCGTGGAACGTCTGGCAGGTCAGTCGCACCGGGGGGCGCCACCCGCTCAGATTGTCTCCCCTGTTATAGCCAGCTCGTTCCGGCGTCGGGGAGATGTGGCAGACGGGGGACCTGGTGGGCTGGACGAAGAGGAGGAGGAGGGTGGGAGGGGTGAGGGTGGTGGTAGTGTGACGGCCCCGCTCCTCCGCAATGTGGGTCAGCTGATGACCCGTAGCAGTAGCGGCGACACGGTGGACGGGCGCGTGCGGTCCTGGCTCCACGACCAGAGTGTGTCTGGCTCTACCATGGAGACAACGCTCCCCTCCACGCCCGCCAACCTGCGCGACAGTCTCCTTGACGATGTGTCCGATAGTGCTGTGTCTGCTGTTCCCACCCCTGCTGCGGCTGCTGCCCCGCCTCAGGTCAAGGCCAACAACGTGATGCTGGCCAAGAACAAAGCCGTCATCCTGCATCCTAACCAAGGTCGTAACCCCATGGTGGAGCGCAACACGCACAAGCGCAGCGACGAGGAGCTGACCGTGTCTGGCAACCGTCTGGTGGGTCCTGGCGACCCTGTGTCTGCGTCCACCGAGGGGGGTGGGACGTCGACAGGGGCGGGGAATCACCGCGGGTCCATCGGCACACAGAGCGCTCCGGCCAATCAGAACGGGGGACTGGGGAGTTACGACGGTGTGGAGGTCGTGGAGTCTTCAGCGCTGGTGCAGAACGACGCACTCAACCAGCAACACCTGCAGCGCAACACGCCCATCCCCTACCTACAGAACCAGGTACACGCCACCGACGGACAGCCCCTGGTCACCTCCTCCGCACACCTCACACGACCCAAACTGGCAAACATGAACGGCAGCAGTGGCAGCTCCTACCTCCACCATCACGGGGACAGTGGCCAGGTACCCACCGACAAGGGAGCCCATCTACCCCAG